CTTCTGCTTCTCTTACCTTTCGACTTCCTGATCTTCTTTTATTTTTCTCTTCTGTTTCTACGATTAATTTCACCATTATCTCCTCTAATCAATCTTTCGCTTGAACTCATTCAAGAACCCATTCAATGGATTCTCACCTTCCTCTACATTTCTGTATTTATAGATTTCTTTCCCTAGTATACGTCTGGATCACATTTTCAATCCTTTCAGCCTCCTCCTCCCAGCGTAAGCATTATCAAACACACAAATAAATATCTTATATCTAAATAGTAACAATTGATATCAGGTTTACATGCTACCTACCTTAAAATATATATTATTTTGTTATAATAAAATAAGAAAAACTATATATTTTACAAAATAAAAGAAAGTATATATCAAACAAAATTAAAATCTATTGTATATAACCTTTTTTGCTAACCGAGTATCATGGCCCCACCGTGTGGTCCAGATTAGAGACCAAAGTGAGCATGGACCCGAGGATCACCAGGTGGCTCACCGTATAATAGTCTTCGGTCTCGGATGCTGCAGTCCATATGTAAATTCCACAGTGGCCAAGGCTTGAACCCAGGGGCAGACACTCTAGCTGGAGCTCCTTTACCACTAGACCAAAGCAACTTGGTTCTATTGTATATAACTTACAGAAATAATGATAAAATAAATTGTAAAAAGTGTTATAAAAATAGTGAAACAAATGTCAGATATAACTAAAAATATTTTTTTTAACAGTACATCGAAGTAGTTTTAAGGGTAAATAAGTATATGTTTAAGAGTATTGTGAACACAAAATATAAGGTTAGTTTATTTAATTAAATGAGAAATTTTTACAAAATACTAAAACAAAAATCTCGAGCATAATTTAATACAAAAATGAAACTTGCATGGTCCAACAAAAGACAATGTAAAAAACCTGATTAAAAATAAGTAACAAAAATAAAATTAGATAACTTATACTAAAAAAAACAGATTAAAATATCTATATCAAAAAAATAAAAATAGACACAATTTCATTAATAATCTCAACAATCTTATAAGAAAATTTTGTCATCTGATGAAACTGATTTTTTTTTTTTGTCTTTTACAGCAAATAGATTCAACAAAAAAATAATAATAATTTTTTTTTTTAAAAAAACGAAAATAACATTCTATATATTAGTTAGAATAAAATCATTTAAACTAAAAACAAATGATTAAACATATGATGATATATTCGTTACCTTGGCGGTCGTTCTCTTCATACACATTTGCGTTTAATGAGATATACAAACTTAGACATTTAACACACAATTATTCATTCCCCTATTTTCCTCACATTTCATACTATACTATGACTTTCTCGCCTACAATAGCATATTATATGATTTTCCCTTCATAAAATTACAAGAAATATCAATCCGAAAACTACAACAACACATATATTTATCAACATCCTCGCGCTTGCGGAGCTACACACATAATATTTATAATGATTGGTATTAGATCTAATAAAGAAACCAAATATTATAGGACATTAAGAATATTCACAAATATTTGTTTATTACTATTTCAACCAGTTATTTAAATACATAAGTTGCTAAAAAAATATAGACTATTATGCAAGTTGAATCAAAAAAGTTCAACCCATGAAGATTTATATACTAGATTATCATTTCCTTGTAAACAAAAAAAAGATTGATTTTCTCAAGTTCAAATGACTATCTTTTCTTAAATGTATAATTATGATGGTCACATAAATTTTTATGTCTTTGTTATAAAGTTATATTTTGATCTATTCATGCATACAATTTGGTTTGCATTGCATAGTCTTTGGAAACTTGATAAAAAAAATTAAGATGGATTATTATATTTAAATGGTTAAACAATAAATAACAACTTCAATTAAAATTTTATATGGTTTTTGACATAAGTTCAAAATAAAAATATGTCTACTAAAATGATTTGGTTGTTTGTTATTAAAAGCGATGCTATGTGACAAGAAGTGTTTTAAAAACCGGAACAAGCTGGTTAGATCATGACTCTCTCTCTTCTAAACAATTTTGAGTTGTACTAAAACTAACAAATTCGGTTTAAAAACCAGTTACTCGCTAAAATCGATGGTCCAATTTGATATTAAACCCTAATTTTTTTTTTCAAATTCAAGTTAAAAATGTAAATTTTTGAAAAACTTTCATAAAAACCTGTATTGTTTTTAATATGTATTTAAATAAATTATTTTCATTATATTTTATATTATTTTTAAAGTTTTCATTTTATTTCCATATCATTTTATCTTCAAACAATGATAAAAAGTCTTATAACTATAATTTTTATAGTTATACGTATATATAGATACTTATCTTAAAATTAAACTAAATTTACAACTCAATTGGACCGGTGTGACCATTAACCTAACTGCAATGCCAAGTTAATGTTCGGTTTGGTATTCAAAACATTGATGTCAAGAATAAATTAATATCATCAAGTTTATAAATTGAAAAAATAAATATTACTCATAACAACAAAATATATAGAATCTTAAATTTATATGTTTTCATTTTAAACTTACAGAAAAGTCAATTCATTTTATATACTTAATTTTCAGAATTTGATAGTGGTTATTTTTTACCAACATTTTGAAGATAGAAAACGAAATATTAAAATATTACTGTAATTATTATGTAAGTTATTTATACCAAAAATAAAATGAGGGTTCTCTTTAAAAAAAAAAACTAGAAAATCTATATTTTGCAAAAAAAAATGATCATTATTAGTATTACTTATGAAACTGTTATTTGCATTAACTATAAGGATTTTGTCAATCATTATTTTTTCTATTTAATTTAACACTCTATTTCTTCTGTTTTTAATTATAAGTTTAACTATACAATATATTATATATATAAACAATATAATTAAAAATTTTGTTTAAAAAACTAGCCATGCATAGCGCGCTCAAAAGATCTAGTATAAATAACATGTGTAATTAAGCTTATAAGTAAATATCAGAGTCCACAGTTTGATCTTAGGGGTGTGGTGGGACAGAAGTCACCGAACCATACTGTCTTTTATTCAGAAACAGCTCACTGTTCTCTGTGCCTTCTTTTATCTCATCACTCGCTAAAATCTTATACTCTCTTTGCTTTAACTTAGTTAACAATATAGTATTACTTTCCCTCATCTTTCCTAATCACTACAAAAAAACATGTGAATTGCATCACTTAAATTGTATCAAAAATAAGTGATACTATTTTAAATTACTTATTTAGAAATGACACAATTATATATCATTTTGAATCATTTAGGACAACCGATGTTTTTATTAATTAATTTAACATCAATTCAAATAAAATGATATAATTTACATGAATTTGCATCATTTTAACACAATTGATATTGTTTTATAGATTTATATCAATTTAACAATTGATGCATTTATTATTTTGGTTAACATCACTTATTAAAATGATATATAATTTATATCAATAAAAACTGATGCTAACAAAACTTATATGAGTAAATTTAATAAAATAATGTAATTTTATCTTAATTTGCATCATTTAAATTATCTATTATAGTAAAATTAGTTTACATCGATAAAATAATAAAATTAGTTACTAAAATTATATGTATTTATATAATTTTATATAGTAAAATTCCCTAACTGATCGGTCACAATCCTAGAAAAAGGGAATCACTACTACAATCCCAAATAAAACGTTAACTAGCTAGTTTAAAAATAGCATTAACTCAAGAGACAAAAAAAAAAAAAAAAAGAAACTCGAGAAGTGGTGTATAACTGATCCACCTCTTCTTGTGGCTTTATAATCTTTGTGGCATAAATCTCTAGTTAGATCATGTTATTATATAACAGATTCACGTCAACAAACGCTATTATCTCCTCTAAAATCCTCATCTTCATCTTTTTTTTTCTTTCAATTTCTTTATTAGTTTAAAGTCTACTGTATTTGTTTCTTCTTATGAAGAACTTAAACAAAACTGGAATCTGCTAATCATTCAAATTTGATTGAAATTATTTTCTTAGAGGTAATACTTTTTCTTCTCTTGGTTCTCACTTTTAGAAGATTACAAGTTTTTTAGTCTTATGTTTATGGTTTAAGTATCCTTCGTTGCTAGGATAAGGAGCATCTAAAAACATAGAAGGAATTGACGTTGTTCAAAAATGGAGGAAGAATAGAAGTCTCCAGGAATATTGATTGATGGAGAATTCTGCAATGAACTTGAAGAAATACAGAAGAAGGATCTCAGTATTTTAACTGTTATGGCAAATTTTGTTTAACCATTTACAATTCTTTTCTATCTTGTAATTCTTCTTTGCGTTTCTTTTTAGGCATGTGCGTTTTTATTTTTAAGATTATAAATTCAAAAGAAAAATAAAAATGTTAATGAAAAATATTCACTTTAATTTATATATTGACAAAAATTATTTACTGTATAAAATGATAATAATATTCGTAATTTATAATTATAAATTATAATTGTGAAATTATTTAAAACTAATATTAATTTAGCTTCGATTATTAATAAATGATATAAATAATTTGAATCAATTATCTTAATTGATCCCAATATTAACATCATTTATAATAACTGGTGTATTTGTTAATATCAGTTTTTGTAACTGATACATAATGATATCAATTATAGCAATTGATGTAAATATTTAGTATTTTTACATCATTTACTAATGAATTGATGTAAATTATTGGGACAATTGCAAAAATACCATTTTTGCTGTACCACAATTCAATATTACCTTCGGTTGAAGGTCATTTTCATAAATACCTCAATGATTAATATGTAAATGACTCAAATAACCTTATCTATATTCAAAAGTGAGATTAGGTTTCTCTCTGACGGCGAAAACAAGATCACATTCCTCCTTTGTCACGACGGCGATGAGANTGGGACAATTGCAAAAATACCATTTTTGCTGTACCACAATTCAATATTACCTTCGGTTGAAGGTCATTTTCATAAATACCTCAATGATTAATATGTAAATGACTCAAATAACCTTATCTATATTCAAAAGTGAGATTAGGTTTCTCTCTGACGGCGAAAACAAGATCACATTCCTCCTTTGTCACGACGGCGATGAGAAGCCTCTCTGGAAAGAGAATCCAGTGACGAGAGAAGCCTCTCTGGAACGAGAATCCGCTGACAAGTTCAAGGTATTGTCTTTCACGACAGCGACGATACGCATCTCTAAAAGAGAATCCATTGACGAGTTCAAGGTATCGTCTCCCACGTAAGCGACGGCGACAAGAGCAACCACACTCGATTACGTAGAATCAATATTCAGAAATCTCAGGAATGTTAACTCCTCTACCCGATTCGCAACTTGTAAGTTTTAATTTGTGTATTTCCTGTTATAAGAACATCAAAGAAGTTTGATTTAGACTTGTCATTTTCTTAGATTGATCCAAGAGAAGTAGTTTCGATTGTGAACATTGAGTTTGTTGAAAACATTATAACCCTTTATAAATCTGGAATGAACTTTGCAGTTAGATAGCAAGGACTTTTATTTGACAACAAGCCCTTAGTTGTTGTTAACATCGGCTGGCCTAGACGTAAGTTCTCATACTCTATTAAGTTGCTACATGGCGTTCTTGGACTTGCAGCATATAATACATGACTGCTTTTTTTTTTCTTTTGAAAACCGATGCTTTAGACCTTATTGCCATGTTTTTTTATTGACTTTTTGAACAGGTAACTGCCGTTGTGGAGCAGACCTTGCAAAGCAGCTAACAAACGCCCTTCTCAGTGTCCTTGATAGCTGTGGAAGTGTCAGAATCGCTCTCTCCTACAAAACCCCTGAAAAGGTCTCTTAACTCATGTTTCTATCAAATAGAATAGTTCTAGCTGATGTTCTTGAGTTTCACCTAGCTTCTTACTACGCAAGCAGGTTTCAAGAGTAATTTTCAAGAGCTAGGAGATAAACCAAAAGTCTCTATTTGGAATGGCCAAGGTACTCATGATACACAGCAAAGTTTGCTTCAGCTTTGTGCATACACAGACAAAAGTTTCTAACGGTTGTTTTTAATCTGTTGTAATTCAGAACCAAATCCTTACATGGGACATTTAGCTTGGGGTGATGCCTTTGTAGTGACAGCAGATTCTGTTAGTCTCATAAGCGAAGCCTGCAGCACCGGGTAGATAACATACTGCGTTAACCCTTTCAGTTTTCCTATTATTTGGTATAACGTAAAAACTATAATCTGAGTAATCCTTGTATGCTGCAGGAAACCAGTGTATGTTATTGGAGCCGATTACTGTAAATGGAAGATTGCGGATTTCCACAAGTCTCTGAGGGAACGAGGAGTCGTTCGCCCATTTACAGGGTTAGAAGACGTAAGTAATCTTTACATTCTCTTAGAACATTGTACCTAGTTTCCCATTTCTCTATGGCAATGGGAACTAAAGAGTTTTCTGGTGAGAGTTTTGTTACATCCTCCATGTTGTCTTCATGATCTTCATTGATATGGTTTGGTATGAATAATGGTTTTGTTATAGATGTCGGAAAGTTGGAGTTATCCGCCATTGAATGACACAACAGAAGCAGCAATGAGAATACGGAGTGCATTAGCTGCACGTGGATGGAGTCTACGTTCTTGAAAACTATCATACGTTTTTGTTATTTGTACAATAAAGAAAGGTCAACTGATAAACGCTAATAATTCAATTTAGAAACTCTTAAATCAGTTTTCAAACTCTAATAAATCAGTTTATAAAGTTTATAAATAAAACTATTAAATTTTATAAATTATTTCATAACACATAAAACAAAAGATAGTTAATAAACACTATTAATTAAACTTAGAAACTCTTAAATCAGTTTTCAAACTCTAATAAATCAGTTTATAAGCCCTAATAAATCAGTTTATAAACTTTAAATTAGTTTAATAAACTTTTATAAATGAAAATATAAAGCTCTTTTGATCATTTTATAACACATAACAGAAAAGTTGGTCTATAAATAGTAGTAATTCTACTTATAAATCCCTAAATTAGGTTATAAACATTTCTAACATTTATAAATCAGTTTATATACACTTATAAATCGATTTATAAACCCTTATAATAGCTGCCTTTCCAGAGCTGCCATTTTATCTTCTAGCTAACCTGGTTTCTTCAGCTCGTCTTTCGCCTCCTCCACATCTATCTTGTCCTTTTGCATCATGTTCCCTGGCAGAATGAAATGAGTCTGAAACAAATCAAATATGGTCAGATTGAGGTTGGGTTTTCACTTGGAGGAGCGGTTATAAGTTGAATTTTGACTAGTAAGAGTTTATAAGTTGATTTATAAATGCTTCTAAGCTGATTTATAAGGTTTATAAGTTGATTTCTAAAAGTTGAAAACCTTGTAAATTTATGTAGAATCATTTCTGATCTTTAATGGATCTATAAAATCTTATAAACCCTTAAAAATCATATAATAAGAACTTTTTAAAAGGTTATAAACAATTTTAAGGGGTATGTATACTATTAATAAGGGTTTATATAGGTGTAGAAACAAATTACAATATTAATTATAAGAATATATAACCATTTATAAGCAGTCAGCAGATAACACTGACGAAGTTGTGAAAGAAAGACTTCGTATATCATTCTCTCTATTTCTATCTTATAATTCATTTATTGTGTCTATAACCATTTTGAAAGGCTTATAAAATAATTTATAATGGTTTGTAAAATAATTTGTAAGGGTTTATAAGGGTATGTAAATAATTTATAAGGGTTTATAAAAACAATTTATAAAATTTATACACATTATAAAGGATTATAACACAATTTATAAGGGTATATAAAACATTTCTCATAAGTCCCCTTTATTTATAAGCGTTTATAAATTAATTTATAAGAGTTTACAAAAAAAACATATAAGGGTTTATAAATCAATTCATAAGAGTTTATAAAAAATATAAGGGCGTACAAAACCATTCAATAACTTAAACAAAAATTTTAAAAGCATCATGGATATATGTTTAATAGTAAGAATTTAAAAATAATTACTAAGGATTTATAAATAATTTATAAGGGTTTATAAAACATTTGCAAGAGTTAATACATTATATATAAAAGCTTATACATCATTTATAAGGGCTTATAAGAGTTTATGAACTGATTTATGAAATTTTATAAACTATTTTATAAGAGATTATATTTTGATTTACAAGAGTGTATAAATTGATTCATAAGGGTTGATAAATTGATTTATAATACTTTATAAAACATCTACCGGAATCTATAACTTAATTATAAATATTTATAAACTAATTTATAAGGTTTTATAAATCCCTTGAATCTTGCTCCAACAGAGTTTGGACTTGTAAAACTCAGTTCTTGTTAGTGTGCATCTGTAACACTGAGCATTGCCCATCAGCCTTTTCTTTTCCTCTTCTATAGATTTATTTTATCTGCAATTTTTTCCTACAATAAGAATCATAGTATGCTGAATTTGATAACACTTGAAAGTTATAGAGACATACCTTGTGTTTGATCCATCTTTCATTTTATCTATATATTCTTCGATGGATTATTTGTGTTTGCAAGAACGAAACATCTATAATGATTCATAAAACTATTTACGTGTGTTTATAAGAGTTTATAAAACCTTGTATGAACCTTTAAGAAATTCATAAAAGAGTTATAAACATTTATAAATTATTTATAAAGGTTTATAAAACTATTTATAAGGGTTTATAAAACCATGTACAAGAACTTATTATTAATTTTTTATAAGGATTTATAAATTTTAAAAATTATTTTAAAGTATTTGTAAGTGATTTAAGATTCATAAAGGTTCTATAAGGGTTTGTTAAATTTTTATAAGGTTTATGAAGCCATTTCTAAGAGTTAATCTATGAGAGTTTATAAATCATATAATAAGGTTAATGAATTTATAAAGATTTATAAAGTCAGTGTGTAGCTAATGGAGACGGTCTCAAGCACGATGATTCCACCCTAGTTACATAACAAGTTATGTAATGACATTATGACTTAATGAAAAGTAGATACATGGGATTTTGAATTCTTTTTCTGATGAGTTCCCACTAATGTCAAATGAAAGTTTACAATAAGCGAAACATCATACAGTTTCTATCACTAAAAAGCTCAAAACAACATAAGGTTTGTTTGAGTCTTATTTATTTATGGGATGTGGTAAAGTAAGTGTTGAGGACTACTACATGTGGGAATAAGCATGGCATCCACCACCTTCAGGCACTGTCCACTCTATGTTTTGCTTTGGATCTTTAATATCACATGCCTGTTAGATAGAAAACACCAAACAACCATTTTATATAGTCACATGTATAAACATACTTAAACACAAAGAAGATAAAAGTGTGATGCATATACCCTTATGCTTGAGATAAAACCAGTCAAAAATGAATTTATAAAGATTTATAAATCAACTTCTAAACCCTTAAATTAGTTTATAAGTCTTTATAAATGGCTCTCACATGAAAAAATATACATACAAAAATCGGGGATGAGATCGGGGACTCTCTCTCAAAGTTAAAAGACAATGTATACTTTTCTGAAAACAGTGGTCACTTTCTTAGTACATTTCTCTACAGAAATGGCACGTTCCTAGTCGTGTTTCAGAGGGAACATGCAAATCTCTTCTAGTCACACCTATTTATCAGATTAAGATAATGACAGAAATCCAAGTATGGAATCCTCTCATTTGAAGTGTGTGTTTTTTTTTAATATTCCATAGCTTTGAACATGCAAATAGTTTTAGAAAACAATCTTTAAAAATGTATCTTTACCAAAAAAGCACAAGTTTAAGGAGGATTCTAAGCTTTACCAAAGGAGGCAACTAAATAAATTCATCAGACAGACAAATATATCAAAAAGTAGAGATGTTAAGATGCAGAGGCAACTGCAACTTGAGTACTTGCTTTATCCTTTGCCTCCTTAAGTTGCTTCCACTTCTCAACGGTGTCGATAAGCTCCCCGGCTTTGATAAGATACGCACCTTCTGTCCATCTTCAAGGACCTTGTGACCCACCCTGCTTACCACCTCCTTTTCTTTCGAATACATCATCACATTTGAGCTGTGGATAGGTGCTTCAATCTGTTAACACATAAACACATTCTTGTTAACGAAAGTTAAAGGGAGTTACTAAAGAACTTTGTTTTCTGTTTAGCAAAATAAACAAAAGAGAGACAGAGACCTTCACAATTTGGCCAGGCTCCCCCTCTTCATGGCTCTTCATGTGTTTGGTCTTGAGGTTAACATCTTTGATGACAATGGTGCTGTGTGGGTGAAGATCTTAGTGACTTCTCCAACCTTACCCTTGTCTCGCCCAGAGATGACTTTGACAATATCTCCGAACTTGACATGCATCTTGTGGAGGATGGGAAGACTATTTGGTTTGCATTTCTTCCTTTCCCAACGCTTAAGCTGAAATTAAAAAAAAACATAACAACACCCACAAGCCATCTTAGTGACACATCAAAGACTTGAGCAACTCAATAATTTGCTTCCGGTTATCTATCATGTATTAAGGCAAACGTTTGGTATCAAGGTTAGAGACACTTGAGACATGGGGTTCTTGTGTAGTGGTTACTAACCTTTGCAAAGACAAGACATGGGTTCTCAGCAAGCTTGACCTGCAACAGATAAGTAGAACTAAAGTAATGAGCTATCAAAATGCAGACACACATGATGAAACGATTAATCAACCAAATGTGCAGACCCAAAACAATGTCAGAAGAGAACAAAACGGTGTCGTTCCAGAGATTAAAGACTATAGAATTTGAGAAGCTCAGAGTTACGGAGAAGGGACGAAAGGGAAATCGGGGAAAGGAGACGCTGGCTGAGGAAAGAGGAGTTGGAGTATATTGAAAAAGATGTAAAGGAGCTCTGAAGAGCAGAAGTCGCCATTATTTATTCTCAACTTTGCTCTGCCAAGTTTCTTCTTCTTCTTCTTCTTCNGCTTCGTCAGATCTGGCTGGAGAACTTGTTAGCTTCGTCAGATCTGGCCGGAGAATAGCATCGTCGGATCTGGCCGGAGAATAGGAACGTCGAATCTGGCCGGAGAACTCGTCAGCGCCGGAGACTTTAGAGAGTACGTTTAGGTTTTAGTTAAGGGTACAATGGTATTTTTCCTATTAAAATTTTAGTGGTAAAGTTGATTAAGGTAGAAGTGAAATATGGTACAATGAAAGTGCTAGATTAGGCAAATTCCCTAAATTATTTGCATCACCACTTTCAAAGTCATTTATTTAAGTGATGCAAAATCCTTTAACATCATTTATAACTAATGCAAAAATATAAAATAAATGATGCTAAACACCTCTTTTTTTGTAGTGAATCTTTTATTTTTGTACAACTTCAAATCAATAAAGCAAAAATTTCAAAACCTTTGCTTAATTCCATTTCTATATGTTTCCCCTTTTTATTAATAGCAATCTGTTTCTACTTTGCTACTTAAAACGTTGTTTTAAAATTCCAATGCAATTTGTGAAATCACTCTTAGTCTAATAGTTTAACCAAGAGTTTATTAATACTTATACACTATGAAATCTGCATTTCGAGTCTCAGCAAAACGAAATTATGCGAGTAATAGGGAATAAACTTACAAAAAATATGCAACATAAAGTAAAAAATACCGTTAAACATGGATCTTATAAGACGTCTCACGATGATGCAGTTAAACATGCATCATCCAAAATTGTCAATTGTAGAACTATCTATAATATTTGTCATAATTCATAATAACATAGTTATCCAACGTTAAAGAAAAAGAAGAAATTATAATACAATTTATACTCACTTTACTTGAATATTAATAATAAAATATACTGATCTTATAATTAAATTTGTTTATTTCAAATATTACTGGTTAAATATATATAACTAAAAAAATATAATATATTTCAATTCTTTTTTTTAAATTTGTGAAAAATGAGTAAGTGATATTTTTTATAAAATAGATAGAGTATTTTCTTAGATCTAGATTTTACTGTTAGCACAAAAAAATAGATTTTACTATATGCAGTCAATGCTATTTAATGCGATGAGAATTATATTAAATTAAATTTCAATTTATAAAATAATATATACCATTTGTTTTATATTAAGTTTCGCTGTACTTAAAATTTGTTATCATAAAATAAGTATCGTTTTCGATTTTTAATACAAAAATTATTAATTTTATACTGTATTTCATTTTTTATTAATTAAAATATGATTAGGTATATAAATAATTATGTTTTTATATACACAAATATAAAATTAATTATTTTTAATCTATTTGTACAAAGATAAAGTTAAATAAAGTGACAATTAAAATGAATCAGAGAAAATACTATCTTTTACACAAACAAAAAGTAAGTATTAGTTTACAATATAATATAAATATTTAAACATTACTAACATAAAACGTTGTAGTTACTTTAAGAAAAGCAATAAATACACCAAAAGCAAAAACTGTTCCATGAGATGTTTTACAATCCAATATACAGTATTTTCTCTTAAGTTATGTGGTATAATAAATAAACCAATTAATATACAATGTCAGAAATAAGAATATATCAGATTTTGCCATTTCTATTCTTTTTTTTTAAAATAGAGTTTGATCCATGTATTCGCACAAATATTTTTATTTTTATTTTTTGTAAATACATATATATTTGCATAAGTGATCATATATATTTTAAATTATATGTTTAAATAATTGTTTAATATAATATTTTAAACACAATAATTTTATAGTATATACTGAGTAATTTTATTTTATCTTGTAAACCATCTATTTTTATCTTGTAAACCATCAATTATATCATCCATATTTAGAATTTGATCTGTATATCCATACAAATGTATTTTTTGCTTTTAAGAATCAAAGTTTTTTTGATAATGTATAATAACATTGTTCTATCTACTGTTTATAATATATAGTGTTGTATATTTTACATTTTTTCAACATTTATAATAATGAATTTACAGTGAAATATTATTTATATAAAATATACATAAAATAATATATTTATATATTAATCTATATATTATATAAATGATCATGTAACTTTTATGTTAGTTATTACATATAAATAATAAAATATAATTATATAGCTTTTAAACAATATTGTTCATTAACTATTTAAAGTTAAGTTTATTAATTATTTTCAAACATATATATATATATATAAATAATAAAATAAAATAGAAAAAAGAATATTAAATTAGGTTTATTAATTATTGTTTTGCGTTTTTAGTTAGAACTTGATTTTTTAAATGCAATGATTAAACATGAAAAAAGATAAAGATGTTAAACTAAGTTAAAACACTAGAGGTATTTTATTTTTGTTACTTCTTTTAATAATATAGATATTAAAATTTGAAAACATCTAACTTTATAAACTATAGAGAGTTTTTGGCTTTTTGCTAAACAAATAAGTTGTAACTAAGTTTTACTAACAATTGGAAGGAAACTGTAGCTAAATCATCCTCAGGTCAGGACAAAAAGAATATAAATCCAACATAAGTATTAGGTACTCAACCAAAACCGAATCGAATTAAATACAATATCTCCATCACTTTACAAAAGTTCCTTTCACAGACTGTGAGCTTCACTCTTCTCCCATGACTCAGAAGATTCATCTCATTCCAACTTCTTTCTCCCATCTCCCATTAACAAAACCAATCAGAACCCATCTCGATTCACCCTTCAATTTCACCAAATCAACAATCTTTCTCCTTAATCCCTAAGAAACAAAATCACATCTTTCGATGAATCTCGCAGCAATTTCCACTTTATGGGTTCTTTCCTTCTTCACCTTACCTCTCCTCTCCTCCTCGAAGCCAATGAACTGCTCCGACACTTCCCGTCTCTGCACTTCCTTCCTCTCTTTTAAACCAAACCAAAACCAAACCTTCTCCATAATCCAAAGCATGTTCAACGCATTACCCTTCGACATAACCGCCGATATAACCTCCAGTGACATCTACCTTCGAAAGAACTGTTCTTGTCTCACCACTACGCGACGAACACTACATTCACAATCAGACAGAACCGTAGCTCCGTCTCCCGTGCTGTCGTCTCTGCTTACTCTGGTCTCGCGTTTCCACTCAACAACACTAGAGACGCACGTGCCGGGGCCGTTGTGTCTGTGCAGATTCTCTATGGCTGCTCGAGTGGTCTCTGGAACTACCTTATGAGTTATGTGACGGTGAAAGGAGACAGCGTTCAGTCTCTCTCCAGCCGGTTTGGTGTTAGTAGTATGGATAGAATTGAGGAAGTTAATGGGTTCTGGAGTCATGATAATTTCACTACCGGAGATCTCATTTACATCCCGCTTGATTCTGATAAAGAGTCTTCAGTTTTTAGGTCATTAGGGTTTTATGACAAAAAAATTTGATGATCTTGATTTTCTTGTGTTGTTTTCAAAGACTTCAATTTGTAGGACATTAGGGTTAAAGACAAAATCGTTTGATGATCTTGATTTTGTTGTGTTGTAAAAAATCTCCAATTTTTAGGACAGTAAGGTTTTAAAATACTAATCTGATGATCTTGATCTTCTTGTGGTGTAAAGAATTTTCATTTTTTAGGAAATTGGTGTTTTATGACAAAACAACTTGATGATCTGGTTGTTGTAAAGAACTTTCATTTTTAACACATTATGGTTTTAAGACAAAATAATTTGATGATCAATTTGATGATCTTGATCTTGTGTTGTAAAAAAATCTTCAATTTTTTAGGACATTAGGGTCTGTGACAAAAAAAGGACATTAGGGTTTTAAGACAAAACAGTTTAATGATCTTGATTGTTGTGTTGTAAAAATTCTCAATTTTTAAGGGATTTAGGACAAATCGGTTTGATTACCTTGATCTTGTTGTGTCGTGAATAATTTTTAACTTTTGGGACATTAGTATTTTAAGACAAAATAGTTTGATGATCTTGATCTTGTGTTGTTGTTGTTTAAGTACCTGAAGAGCCTTATGAGACAAAGAAGACATCCCCTCCTGCTCCTTCTCCTTTTTGGTCTGAATCTCAAGTTACTATTTGTATTATCATGAGACTAGCATTCATATTATGTTTTCCAAATTTGGAAAAAGCTGCTGACCAGGTGAATCACACATCAAATGGTGATGGTCAAGTGCCTTATATATGGATTGTTGGTGGTCTTACTGTTGTGCTTGCGCTTCTAGTGGTGTGTATACTTGTATGCATCTGCTTGAGATCATCTAGTTTCAGTTCAAGTGATAATGATAGTGGTGGACACAACTTCCAAATTCTTAGGAAGTCTGGTTTCTTTTGCGGTTCTGGTCGGTATAACTGCTGCAGATCCGGGGATTTTAGACGAACCAACGGTGAAAATCATAGCCAGCATCAAGTTGTTGCTATTCCTAAATATATATCTTTTGGTTTTGGTTTCATCATCTGTGGTTTCGAGTTTTTAATGGTATTTTTTCTTACATGTATGAAGCTCTTGGTGATGGAATGTTTGAGATAGAGAAGCCTACTGTTTTCACTTATGAAGAGATCCGTGCTGCTACAGATGGGTTGGCTGATTCAAATCTTCTTGGTCATGGAAACTATGGTTCTGTGTACTTTGGTCTACTTAGAGAAAAAGTTTGTACATTAAATCTCATCTTCATATGTCGAGTTTTGAGTTGTGATATGTGACTAAACTTATCACAAGAAGTTGCTGTGAAAAGGATGTCAGCTACAAAAACTAAAGAGTTTGCAGCAGAGATGAAAGTTCTTTGCAAAGTTCATCATTCAAATCTGGTAATCCTCCTTGTGTTGTGTGTAAATCTTCTTCATGCGTCTATTAGTATTCGAGATCGTGACTGTTGTGGTTTGCTTTTATTCTTGTCAAAGGTAGAGTTGATTGGTTATGCTGCAACCAATGATGAGATTTTCGTAGTGTATGAGTATGTGCAAAAGGGAATGCTGAAAAATCATTAGCATGATCCTCAGAGCAAAGGTAAAAAAGACTGATACCAACAAGAAGATGATGATAATTATAATGATATATTTGTTAATGTTCTTGAAGGCAATACACCACTGTCTTGGATAATGAGGAATCAGATTGCACTTGACGCAGAAAGAGGCTTAGAATATATCCACGAACATGCTAAAACTCATTATGTTCATAGAGATATCAAGACTAGCAATATCTTGCTTGATGAGGCATTCATGGCTAAGGTCTGAGTCTGAACTTATGAAACCATTTACATGTTATGATACTTACACGTGAAACTTAAGTTGATCTCATCTTTGTATGTGTTAGATATCAGATTTTGGACTTGTAAAACTGGTGGAGAAAACTGGAGAGGGTGAAATTTCTGTGACTAAAGTTGTTGGTACATATGGTTATCTTGCGCCAAAGTAAGCATGTGTAGATCTGAAGCTACACCTAGTTTTCATACAAGGGTACTCTAGTGACTTCTCAGTTTTTCTCCTCTGTAGATATCTAAGTGACGGTCTTGCCACCTCGAAAAGCGATGTGTATGCCTTTGGTGTTGTTCTTTTCGAGATTATTTCTGGAAGAGAAGCCATTATAAGAACAGAGGCAATGGGAGATAAGAATCCATAAAGACGTCCATTAGCATCTACTGTAAGTTCTTGGAGTTTTACACATTACAATTCTTTGATTCATCATTCATTTCCAAAGCCTTTTTTTTATTTGTTGCAGATGTTAACGGCTCTTAAGAACTCACCAGACTCTATGAACATGTTGAGTTTGAAGGAGTTTACCGATCCCAACATGATGAACTTATACCCGCATGACTGTTTATTCAAGGTAAACTAAGAAGTATATGCTTAGTGGTTGGAAGAAATGTAGTAATCAATATGATATTTTCTTTGTGAAGAATGATTGTTTTTGTGGACAGATTGCTATGTTGGGGAAGCAATGTGTAGATGATGATCCAATTCTTAGACCAAACATGAAGCAAGTGGTCATATCGCTTTCGCAGACACTCTTGTCTTCTATTGAATGGGAAGCAACTGTTGCTGGAAACAACCAAGTCTTTAGTGGTCTTGTCCAAGGGAGATAAAAAAAAAAAAACACTGAAACCTAGTTTGTCTAGATAATCACAGTTTAGCTAAGTAGTTAGTTATAGAGACAAATCTCTTATGTCCTGCTCTTTTCCTGTCTCGTTATGATTATTCTTTTGGAGAATCAGTGAAGAGATGGATGTATAAGTTTATATGTTTTCATGTGTTAGAATCGTAGAATCAAAACATCATTTTATCTACTTACGATAAATTGATGATATGATACATGGAAAAAATCTCGGATGCTAGAAATGTTGCAATCTTACAAACAAAACATCTCTTAGAATATAAATTAGATTAGGAATGGGGGATTCATGAACACACAACTTTTAGACATGATCAATACTTTGTAACACTCGGATGCTTCTTCTTACCTTTGTTAGAAGATAAAACCAGGGCTTCATGTTTAATGACAATAGAACTGAAACTAGATTTTGTTATGATCCCATATTATCATTAGGGTCTCAAGAAATGTTTTCAAACCTGATCTGAACACTGAGGCAGACAACTTTCTGGATTACTGGGTCAAGCGCTGACAAACCATGGGTTAAACATTAATCAATTTTAATATATAATTATATACTAACTATTAAAATATAGGACATATTTTACATTTCTTAAAAACTATAAAAAATATTTAAATTTGCTCTTTTATTTTTATTTTTATTTTAATTTCACATATAAAATATTCAAAAAAATTTAAATTATTTAACAACTTTTTTTTTGTAAAAAAATTTATTAGTTGAACATATCAAAACTTAATCTCATAAATTATAGATATCCATCGTTGTTCACTATATTTTATTTAGGAAGCATGATAAAATTTTCATCAAAATTTAAATATCACAATAATAGTTTATTTGATATTATATATGATTCTACAAAATGGAATAAGATCAAAGAATTTAATTCACCAAAAAATATCATTTATTTAGAAACATCTAAAATCAAGAAAACCAGATAAAAACATATGATTCAAAAAAGAATAAAAATGTTATTAAAATCATCAAAAATTTAAAACAAGGTTGAAAAGATACATAGTATATTAGATAGTAAGAAAAACGATAATTTGATAAGAAAAATAAAAAATAAACATAAAAACCTAACTTCTTATTTTGGAATACAAACAATCTATTTTATTAAAGCAGGATCAGCACATATTGATAATAGTTGAATCCAACTATGAATTCCCTTTATTTAAGGACCACTTATTATTCTCTTTATATAACTATATCTAATTTTATTTAAACATCACGTTGTATGTACATGCCAAAAACAGTTTCCACTTTCTCTTAACCACGATTGTTATGACCTACTAAAATAAACTAAATATTTTTACACAATCAATTATCTTCCTCTCTACAGATTAGTTCACATAAGTAGTTACCATAAAAAAAGTTAATGAATCAGTTTAATCTCGGCTAACAAATCATTTCATAAAAATTCATTGTTTTTTTATTTTTGAATGCTTGCAATCGAAACTGGCTACCAGAGCTCTATATTTGATGACAAAACAATAAGAACAATGCTAAGTTACAATCGCTGTTGAAGAAAGTTGCAGGAAACTTAAAAGCTGTATTTAAAACTATCTATAATGGAGGTGTTGAATAAAAGATTCAACTATTGAATCACTACAATGAGAGTGTTGAAAAATAAAATTTGATGATGTGGATTAATTGGTGTTGAAATGATTCAACTAGTTGAATAAAAAGAGAGTGGAATCCATTGATGACACATGTCATTTTTAATAATTTTGATATTTTATTATCCTCTTAGTTATTTAAAACTAATAATTTCATTATATATGATTTTTTTATAAACAAATTTACTATTTTGAATTCTCTATAAATAGAAACTAGGTTTATTTAATTTGGATACAGAAAACAAATAATTGTTAATTAATAAATTAAAGTGTTGAGTTTTATTCAACAAAACCATTGTAGTGATTAAAAGTAGAATGTGTGTTGAATGATGAGGTTAAAGAAAGAGAATATGACATGGAATATTAAAAGATGAAATGAAGGGTGTTAAATTTTAAAACAATTGTACATAGTCTAAGAGGAAGACGATTTAATTACGATTGTGCCATTAATTCAACTATTGAATGTGTGTTGAATGATGAGGTTAAAAAAAGAGAATATGACATGGAATATTAAAAGATGAAATGAAGGGTGTGAAATTTTAAAACAATTGTACATAGTCTAAGAGGAAGACGATATAATTACGATTGTGCCATTAATTCAACTATTGAATCTTTACAATGAGGGTGTTGAAAAATAAAATTTGATGATGTGGATTAATTGGTGCTGAAAAGATTCAACTAGTTGAATAAAAAGAAAGTGGAACCCATTGATGACACATGTGCTTTTTAATAATTTTTGATATTTTGTTATCTTCTTAGTTATTTAAAACTAGTAATTTCATTATAGATGAAATTATTTATTTTTAATTTTATACGAAAATTTACTATTTTGAATTCTCTATAAATAGAAACTAGGTTTATTTAATTTAGATACAGAAAACAAATAATGGTTAATTAGTTAAATAAAGTGTTAAATTTTATTCAACAAAACCATTGTAGTGATTAAAAGTTGAATGTGTGTTGAATGATGAGGTTAAAGAAAGAAAATATGACATGGAATGTTTAAAGTTGAAATGGAAGGTGTTGAATCTTAAAACAATTGTACATAGTCTAAAAGGAAGACGATTTAATTACGATTGTGCCATTAATAAAAAAACAAAACAAAAAGACCCTCACAGTGTTCGAACACGAGACCAATAAACTGAAATATTCCCTTCCACTAAGTCTTATTGTCTTGAAGAGGAAGACTAATAAACCATAATATATTATTAGCCTTATAGTCTTACTGTCTTTAAATACTTAAAATTTTAGTTTCATGAAATACAAATTATTTACTAATATATCTACCAAATTAGGATTTTCCTATAATTTAATAAATAATTAAAAAAATATTATTATGAAATTAAATTTTAAGTTAATTTTTTAAATCATTAAATTTATCTAATTATTTACCAGGTCAACCATTGCCGAATCACATGTCAGTGATGAACTTTTGAAGTTTTAACCAGATTTTATGGAGTTCCTAAATAGAAATTTTATAATTAAATCCAAAATTTGAGATGAATTATAATATTTTTTATTTATTTTCTTACTCTTATTTGTTACCTAATAATATGGTAAAAATGTAGAGTTGTATAATATCAAAATTCAATATAATTATTAAAATATTTTACTATTAATTTAAAAAAAAATTTACACAAATATGATTACAAAGAAAAACACAAATATGACTACAAAGAAAAACACAGATACATGAATGTTCGCGTAACTTAAACTCCTATTTTAAAGAGATACATATATTTTTTTTTTACTTTTATTTGTTATCTAAAAATATGGCCCATATCCAATATTTTGAAATCTGAGCCGAACACTGAATCAGACGATTTTTTGGGTCACCGGGTCATTGGGTCGACCACAGATGAATAACATATTAATAACTTAATTAATTTTATTATATATTAATACATTATCTCTGAAAATAAATATATAGAAACTAAAATTAAGTATTTTCTAGTTTTAAAATGTAAATTCTTTGTGTTTTAAAAAAAAATTAGAAAATGCTTAATTGTACTTAATATATTTTATTTTTACTTAGACATACGAAATATCAAAATTAGTTTAAATTATTTATTTTTTTTGTAACAAATTCAGAAGTTAAAAGTTATGACATCTAACAAAAAAAAAATACCAAAACCTAAAATTCATAAATATTTGAATGTCTAATGTGAATAGTAAAATTAAACTTCATATTCATGATAAACCAAAAATAAACATAATTATAATAAATTCTTCATAACAAAATAAACTAATACCAAACTACATCAACTAATTTTGGTTCTCTCTACCATCTTCACTTCATTTTCTTCTGGTGGCATAGTGAAATCTTCATCAAAATCTAAAAATGATAAATAAAATAATTGTAATTGGTCTTATATATGATAAAAACATTAAAAAATTTAATCAAAATGTAATTAAAAACTAAAAAAAAATATTTATTGGTTCAACTAGTGGTTCATTCGGTAACCGGATTTCGGGTTTGTGGTTTTTGCGGGTTTTATTATTGGTTTTTTCACAAAATTCAGACCAAATTTATCTTGGATCACCGAATTTTACCGGTTTAACCGCAGGTCGGGTTCGGATTTCAAAACACTTTCCATATCTAATTCAAATTGTGAGTATTTTCTATTTACAGAAAATTATTCTGAAAATACAAAATAAATAATATACCCGTGCTTTGTAGCGCGGTCAAGATCTAGTATTTAATAAAGTAGTTAAAACCTAAGAAAAAACTAAACAAAAATTATTCACTGGTTCACCCGATGATTCAACCGATAGACAAGTAACCGGGTTTAATGATTTTTAACGAGTTTTATCAAATTTTTAGTTAGTGGATATTTCTTAAAACCCAGACCGGATATTTACTGGGTCACCGGGTTTGGATGTCCGACCACATATCCGGATCGAGCGTGAAAACACTGGTCTCAAGCTAAACACGTCATTACTTATACCATAAGATTAGTTATTTGATTATGCATGTTTATTTAAATTGAGTAAACTTTTGTCTTGATTTTTTTATAGTCGACGCATGCAAAACTTACAAAAATCTTATATATATTTGATTTTGCTTATCTATCTATACTATTATGAGAAGTGATTTTGATTATTTGTTATGTTTACCATAATTGTAGGTATTTTGATTATTTATCATGTTTTCTATAATTTTATTTATCTGTCATATTTTTAGTAGTTTTGATTATTTTCAAAAGTTATTAACTTGAATAATCTATATTATTATTTAAAACATTATTAAGAACTCTAAACATGTGACTTAGAACAATCTAATGATACAAGTTTCAGATAAGTATGAACAACCCACTAGAATGTCCTTGTTGACGAGCCTTTACTCCGACAACATCT